ATCCCGTTTCTTTGAAAGAGGATGTCCGCAGCCTCTTTGATCTTCCGTTTCCTGGCGTTGTCCCCATATGAGGCCAGTCTTTCCGCTGCATTTCAGTCAATAGTATGGCCGGTCATGGCGATGTGTTCAGCTAGCTCCAATCTTTCCGTATCCATTTTTCTGCATAGTCGCTGGTGTTCTTTGATCTTTATGCTGATTGTCCTTCTCTTCTCTCCCATGCATTTTTGTCCACAGTCCTTTCAGTTTACTCTTATGCTGTAAACATAGGAGCACTCCATTTTGTTGGCTTCTTCATGTTGTGTGGGCAAGTTGGTGAAGTGGGTTGTCCGAATGCTCCATTTCCCTAACATTGGCCGTAGCTTCCGAGCCAATTCGCAGGAGGGTAGACATATCCATAGTTTTTCTTCTGCTTCTCTTGCTTTCCTTTAATCATCTCCGTCCTTCCATCTGTTCGTCGCCATCCGTATGCTGCATTGTATTGTTTATTCTGAATATTCGTTTTCAAGAGACATCTGAGTTAGTTTTCTTAGTTCCTCTTACCATAACTCAGAATCAATCAGTCGTAAGCTTCTTATGATCATGCTCCGGAGTATTCCAATCTTCATCCTATAAGTATGGTTCGACTGAAATTTAAGAGTCATTTCAGCATGAGTTTTCTTTCAGAAAAGTTTTTTCTTGACAGTTCCCTTGGAGCGAATGACTACTACATCCAAGAACGGTAAGTGTCCGTTCTATTCCACATCAATGGTAGATTTGACTTTTTAATCTATTTCGTTTATAAAGAAAAGGAAATCGTCCTTTTTTCTCTTCCATGCAACCAAATTGCGAAGTAGTCATCCAAATATCTCATAATTACTTTTGGCTGCTGGGGTGAAATTTTGAAATTCTCCTCCAACTTGTCCATGAAGACATTAGCCAACATATGTGAGAGTGGTGAGCCCATATACAAGCCAAATATTTGCTCATAGATGCGGCCGTTGAATGTGAAATAGGCCACTCTTATTGTTAGATTGATCAAACGCATTCGATCCGTCACCAGGATGTAATCTTTTTCCAAGATCTTGATTAGTGCCGTAAGTGCTTTTTCTCTTGAGATGTTGGTGCACATGGACTGTACATCAAGGCTTACCAAAAGTTAGCTTCCTTCCAAACCGGTTCCTTTGATTATTTGGCAAAATTCATATGAGTTCTTCGTTGTATTCGATAATCTGTCATTCCCTTACTTTAATTTGCAGCAGATACATTTCGCCAATTTATGTGTCGGTCCATGTTTGTTGTTGATTATCAGTCTCAATGATTCTCCTTTTTTGTGTACCTTCGGCAAACCGTATGCTACTGGGGCTCTTGCATCTTTTCATATAAGTGCATTTCCTTCTGCATTTTTTGCAGTGATCCTTTGATTTTAACTGTTGGGTCCTTTGTTAGTAGTCGATAAGCTGTAGTGTCCCCGATAATGTTTTCCATTTTCTCAATATCTTCCTTCTGTCCATAACCACTTTTGTACCTCCTTCGCCTGCATGTGGGACTATTTGATCGTTTCTTTTCAATTCTCTATATATCTTGGTTATATTGTCCTTATCCGTGGGTTCTTGATGCGCAGATTGTTTGGAGGATTTCCATTTCCAGCTCACTTTTTGATTCTTCATGTAGCTTCTCAGAAGTATTTATCACCTCCACGTTTTGGAATGTACCCATCCAAGAGTGCAATGCTGGAAATCACGAATACTATCGTAGAGGACATGGGACTAGGTACGTTTCACAAGGTCTCCCTGACGCTCCCACCAAGTTGCGAAAACAACTTTGAGCCAACACCAAAATATCATCAACTTAACTAGCCATGTGTTCACCCATTACGTAACCTGAGCTATGGTTAAAGTAAACTCCTAAACTTGATTGTTAAGGAAAGATGAGACCTTCACTTCTAATTACTTTGCGCTTTTACTGCTGCTTTCATACATATACGTACACATGAACGCACATATGTACACACAGACGAACACACACACACATGCTTCTGAATTGACATATACTTGAACTAGCCAAATCACTTTATATCCATTAAATGCATTATTTGTGTATCTTACTTTACTATCAATTTTATATTATTATTAGTTTATTTATAGTTATACATTATAAATACACAAATATTATTATGATGTCACTTAGCTCGCCAATTAAAACAACCTGTTTAACGACAGTCCCTATTTAAGATTTTCTTATAGTTTAAAATCGGTTCACTTGGTACATTATTTCTTCACTCCGAGTTGCTTTGAAATCCGCTATTTAAAAAAATCAGATATTGCTTTATTGAA